AACTATTCGTTCCCCACCCTCAGGCTCATACAAGCTAATAAGCCTGATGTAGTCCTTCTCGACCACCAGACCAAAACGATATTTGTCGTGGAGTTTTCAGCTCCTGGCGAGACGAATATCGTCAGAAAAGAGGAGGAAAAACGGATAAAATATCGAGATTTTCTCTTCGAACTCCGCAGACTCTATCCAGATCACTCTGTCAAGATGGTCGTTCTGATTATTGGAGTCCTTGGTGGAATGATGTCTTCTCTACTCTCGAATCTTAAAATCATACCGGCTTGCCGCACTAAGGCAGAAATCTTAGCCACACAGATGCAGAAGGCTGTCATTCTTGGCTCACTGCGTGAGCCCTGCCCGGCGCTTGCACATGATTCTCGGACCCAATGATCACGGTGTGGTCGTTGGTTGATAATGCTGGCGCGCCCTCCCGAATGTATCGGGGCTTCGGGGGATAGGGCCTGACCAGCGCACACTACGGGGAAAAAATAATAATAATGATTTATTATTTACCATAACATAAAATATTCTTCAGATCACATAACGAGGTGAATAAACGGATTATGCTAGGTCTTAAAACCAATTCTTCCACATACACCAAAACGAAAATAAATAAACATTCTAGCTACAGTTACACCATGATATCAATAGAACTCAAATATAATTAAAGAAATATTCTAAAAATAATCTTGTTTCATTGCTTCTCAAACCAATGTGTTTTGGCTATTTTTTTAAGTGGAATTGATGTAGAGAAATCGGGAACATCCAGAAAATTGCCGCGAAGAGATATCTGGTAGGTAAAGACCTTTTATAAATTTCTTTATTGTGTGCAGGAATATGGATCATTTTTTTTTCCGAAGATTGACGTTATGCACATCTGTTCTATGTACAATTTTTCAGGTATTCAGGATTTTTGAAATTCAGTATTTTCTAGTAAAAAGTGAGAGCGTGTAATTTGCGTCTGTTATACATACTTAACCATCCTGCGTCTTTCAGCTTATGGGAAATTCCTTCTCTCCTCCTAATACATCATTCGAAGACATACACAAAATGTCACAGTGATTGAAATGGGACAATATCATAGTATCGCTCAATATTTTTTTCACTTCCAAACTTAAATACATTCTCTGCTGATATACCAACTTCAACGAGGCGTAGGCCTTTCGAATTTTCTCCGTAACTTGTGCTTCAAAACGTAATTTAGAATCTATGAGTAAACCTATATTTTCACTCAAAGCTTCATGTTTCTAAGTATCGCTACCGAATAATACAGCAGAAGATTTGTTACAATTTGTAGATAAAAGATGATCATTAGAAAGATTATGGAGGATTTCTAAATCACGATTGATTTTTATATTAGCTTCCCTCATATTTTCGAATTTAAATGCACAATAAATTTGCGTGTCATCGGCAAACATGTGGTAATTGCAATATGTCAGATGATTATGAGAATTGGAGGTATATAATGTATATAAAAGTGGTCTCAGTATACTTCCTTGTGGAACCCCTTGGTCAACCACTATGCTATTTGATATTTTGTTTTCTATTTTAACGCACTGAGCTCGGTTTGATAAATATGATTTGAGAAAAGAACAAGCAAAAGTACTCAAACCAATAAAATGTAAAATTGCACTTGATATTTGATAATTTAACGTGTCAAATGCCCTAGAATAGTCAATTGATACCAAAACACTCACCTCATTTTTATTCAAAGCATACAAAATATTTTCTGTTATAGTTGCTAAAGCTGTTGAACAGCTGTAACCAGATCTGAAACCAGACTGATTATGTGGTAATATTTCATTGATTTCTATATGCTTTTTCCTCATCTGTTTTTCAATTATTTTTCCAATACCTTGGACAAAACAGGTAACATACTTATACTCCTCAAGTGTGACAATTCTGTGGGTCGGGAAGTTTTCGGTAGTGGTTACACGAAAGCATGTTTCCAACTTTGTGGAAAATAATGATGTGTAATGCATTCATTGATAATCAGGTTATTTGAGTTCGACAGATCCGTACTCTCACCATCTGACCTGAAAGAACACTCACCATCCAAACTAATCGGCTTCGTTAAGAAGCTGCGTTTATTTGGCCGAGTGTGAATAGGTGTGAGCCACAATAAACCCTTATGGGTTGCGATGGAGGGTCGATTAGACCCACTCACTTTAGACCTACCTACCTACCTACCATAAAGTCAACTCAAACCATTTCGAAATAGCATTTTCCGTAGCTCACAAGTGTATGATACCATCCTACGATACTCAAAGCATCAGCTACCAGCCATATCTTGCTGAAATAGAACAACAAAAAAACCTTCATAGTCTGGAACATACTTTCACGGAAGGTGTTCAAGTGACTTGGCACATTTGATTCTACCAAGAGCGTCACATATCTGAAATAAGCGACAAACTGTGGCGTTTATGTGGAATAAACTTCGTATGAACGTTTTTCCAAATGAATTTAATCTCCAGTGATTCAAATCCAACTTATCGCCACTTTGTCTACTACTTCTCTGGTAGCTTTGTTTTGAACATCCTCGGGTATTCTTCTTATCGTTGTTATCGTTATCGTTCTTATTTTTTTAAATTTTTTGCACTGCCATTCAGTATTCAAAATGTCAAAATAATATTTATTCCACTCCGAACTATTGGGTTCCTTTCCCACATTGTCATCTATAATGTTATATATTATGACCATAAAAATGTTTATTTTTTCATTCAGCTAAACTGAAATAGCTTCGGGGACAGGTGGTTACACTGAAGATTATATCTATTCACTACGTAACGACTAACTCTGAAGTTAAAGCTGAATATCAACTATAGTAATAAATATATTCATTCAACAACTACATAACATACATGCCAAAAAAAAGTATCATGTATTACCAAGGTTTCAAAACCTACTTTGGTACATTCGGACTTACTCCAAGGTACGATAAGCTACTAACTAACCACTACGGAAGCAAGAGGCGTACTGACTCTCTGTCGTTTGGATGTAGGGATAATGAACAGGCGCCAAACTCACCGGACTTAAAATGCTGCTGCTATCCATTTCTTAGCAACAAAAACGCCTGTAACAACCTGCCCCTGTAATAATCGGCCCTGATCCTCCATACCTTCACAATATGTGCCTTTCTGACGAATCTTTCTTTTACTTTTATTCCATTATACATTAGTTTTCAGGCGAGTTCAATACAAATTTCCATCATTTCTAATGTAAATGTAGTGTTGATTATATTACCTTTTATCTAATTATTTATATAAACCTATAGACTTGTGAATCTTATTGTTTCAGATGCATCTTCTAAGAGACGTTCTTAAAGATGTCGAATTGAATATACAACCCGGTTTGATGAGAATAAAATGGTCTTCTTTGGGAATTACCGAGTTTGCTGAAAATTGTTCAATAATGGTTGTCAACTTGAAAACCCTTTTCCGCCAAATTGAACATATAGAAAATGACCTACAGAAAAGAGTTCGCTTGCTATCCTCTTCAAACTTGTTTGATTTCGTAACAGTAGAAGAAGAACCTACGCGATTGACGTGCAAAGATTTTTTTAGCGCGATGTACGACAATCGCACCGAGAAAACTTCGAAGGCGATGAAAATTTACGAATCGTTCGGTCCTATATTGATCAAGCTGGAAGCGATGATCTTGAACACCAACACCGGTAGATCCCCTGCGATGGCTAACTACTACTCTTATTGGGAAGCGGAGCTGTTTAAAGCATTGGTGTCTATGACATTACGAAATATAGAGACATTCACCACCAAAATCGGGGCGAAAGATCTACTCTTCGAAGTAGATGCTGTAGTGATAACTCCAGAGATATTATTAAGACCCACAGCTACGGAGATTTACAATATATTCGTAAGAAACTCCAAAGATTTTTTGGAACGGTTGAAAATGTTTCCCAGGTGGATGGATGGTTCCTGCATTCCCTGCAAACCAATCAAACTCCCTGACAATGAGGATTTTTTGCACTCTTTTTTCGATGATATCATTAGGGTTCAAGATGTGAGTGAAGCGATGGCGAAGCTGGTTGAACAGGCCAATAAAGTCATAATCATTGTTAATAGGCAGCTGCAGAAGTGGAAACGATACAGGAACCTCTGGTCTCATGATAAAGTGTCTACGTGCGAAAAATTCATTCAAAAAAACACGTCATTGTCGGTTTATGACGAAAAATTCATGTTCTACAATGAAATAATGGAGAACATATGTGTCTATAACCCACTCATCACTGTTGGTAGCGTTCAGCTCAATTTGCGTCCTCTGCTGGATACCATAGTAAACCACTGCGTGGAGTGGAAAAACACACTTGGTCAGCTCATAGACGAAAATACGAAAGTGAAAATGGATGAAATGCAACAAAGAATCGAAGAACTCAGAGTTGCTGTTCGACAAAACATTAAAGGTTTGAATCGATTCAAGGCTGTCATGCAAGCTATAGCTGCTATACAAAGAGGTAACATTTCCGCCGAACTAGACTATCTAAACTACCAGGAAACATATAGGGTTCTACGACAGCATTCGATAATGTTTCCACCGGAGAACGAAGCGCAAGCCCACAGACTTGAGAAAGAATGGAAGGAACTACTCCTTTCTGGTTTATATCGAGAACAAACTCTAGAATCTACAAAAGAACGATTTGCTGGTCTAACACTTAAAGAAATTACAGACTTTTGTTCAGTTTTAGCCGAATTTTTGGAGAAATACGAGAAGGAAGGTCCAGGAGCCGTAGGCGATGACTTAGACCATGGTATGAAGCTGATGGAAGATTACAGAACCCAGTTTGAAGAGCTGGAAGCTCGTCGTATAGAGCTCGTGAATGCCGAAATGCTATTCGACATTCCTCTTGCTGACTATTCAGACTATTTAAAAGCGAAAGGCGACTTTGACAGCATGGAGATTCTATACAAACTCTATAAATCCTTGAAGAATGCCAGAGAGGTTTGGGGAAAAACACTTTGGGCCAACTTGAATCCTTCCGCATTGGTAGATGGCATAGACGGTTTTCTTAAGAACTTCAGGAAGCTACCGAAAGAAACAAGAAGTATAGCTGTTGGTGTTACATTAGATATGCAGATGAAACAATTCCGGAATGCGGTTCCTCTGATGGTCGCTTTGAAAAACGAAGCACTCCGGGAACGGCACTGGAAACAATTGATGGCTAAGACGGGAATAGAATTCGATATGTCACCTGATAGGTTCACGTTAGATAATATGTTCGCCATGGAGCTACATCGATTTCAAGATATAGCTGAGGAGATAATTAACAACGCCATCAAAGAACTGAGCATCGAAAAAGGGGTCAAAGAAATTGCCGAGACCTGGGGAACGATAAGCTTTACAATTCACAAACATTTGAAAGGAACCGAAGATCGTGGGTACCTTATAGGAGCGACAGAGGATATAGTTCAGGTAAAGTGTGTAACGGTTTGAATTTCTGAATTCAGAAGAATCAGTCGAGCCGTCCTGTAAGTTCGTTATTTTATCAGAATATTGCTGGGATAGTGGGTTGTCTATTGAGCAGGAGTAAATGAAATCGAAGAGATTTCCATGGTCAGTATTTAGAAACAATTCAGATTAGTATCTATCGTGAAGCCGACACGAAGGCCCACGTTGGGCGCCAATTCTTTATAACCTATCTTGGTATTTAGGTAATTACCAAAAAGTAGCTTGGCCCAGGCAAGTCAATTATCGGGGTTGGACGTGAATAAGGAAAATATGTTTTTTTACAGTCGAAATGGATGGAAACAAAAGTAAGCCCTGGGGCGCCAGTTGAACGGATTCAACAGGAAAGAGGTGGAGAAATAGCCAAAAAGTCAACAACGAAGATCTAAGCTTGAAATTTATATTAAATTGTTATATAGAAATAAATATTTACAAACTTCACTACAAATGGATGTGTAATAACTCCAAAATTGATTTTCATATATTATTTGCAACGAACTATTGTAGAAAAAAACAGGAAAATATATATACATCAAGTTTAAAGAACTAAAACAAACGTTTCGAGTAAATATATTAATACGTGGCTATAGGCCGTTTTGATCACGCTATTACTACTGAGGAACTCTTATCACGGAACAATATTGAATTGAAATATTCGAGTAACAGATAGATCATTACGTAAATCGAAAGTGAGGAAACAAATGAGTAGTGAAAAGTAACTGTCTGATTCTTAATTTATCCAGAACCTACTTTTCGATTAACTACAATTAAACTCGATAATTATTAATCACCCCCGTCAACAGCTGTCTTAGGTGCACAGAGAAAAGGTAAAAACTTAAACTATATTCTAATTTTAAGGAATGAACTGTATATTTCAGTAATCAGACCGCTCCAAAATATATCATCAATATCGGCTTCTACTCATGGGGTATCATCATTTTTGATATTTTTCATACTTGCTACTGTTCTCCGTTGGTACTTTCTAGAATGTCTCCTCGTATCTCAAAGAACGACGTGTATGATGCAACTATAACTTTTTCGAAGGATTTCTCCAATTACCAGAAAATGTGCCTTGAATAAAAATGAATAAAAAGTCATGCTCGACGTGAATCTTTCACAGGTGATCTTATAATTCTTATCCAAAAAACCTGGAAACATGTGTTATGGAATTATCTACTAATATTTCAAGAATAGGAAATGAAAATATTGAATTGACTAATTTGACTGACCTTAGATGTTTTTAGGTTTCGGACAGTCCCTAGCTAGAGCCTTGCTTTCGAGTCGGCTTCACGATAGATACTAATCTGAATGGGGATGATTACGAGAAACTCATACGGCAGAGTGCGCTGAGTGTTTGTCACATTGGTCATTAGCTGTCAAAGTTTCCACCGTTATTTATTGATTTATTTGAAAGTTTCTTTTTTCAATTGCTTGCAATTCAAGATGTATTCTACATGGCGTATCGCTCAGTTGAAGGAGGAGTTGCATATTTGAACAACTCTCTCATTATATAAAGACAGTTTTTTGCATCCAATTTGCTTCCAAGAAATATATTAATGAAAAAAACCCACATATTTTGTGTTTTTTCACTAATAATCAATGAACATTATTCTAACCTCAAAAACATGCAAGTTTTAAGGTTCAATTTTGTTTTCAGATTAGAGGCTTATGATAGACATTTTAATTTCGAGAATATCCCTCAAGAGAGACCAGTATAATAAAAAACAGATTTTTTGTTCATCAGAAATTCATCATTGGAAAATAATCTGAATAAAGTTGGTGTTTGTGTGGACTGGCTGATTAGGTGGCTTTCCTTATCAGGATTATCTTCCTCGGGGTGGAGAGAAACTTCTGAGGCAATTTCTTGTTGGAGGTCTAGATAATTTATATCTGAAAATCAAATAGAATATAGTGGTGTTTGAGCAGTCAATATAATAAATTTATTTATTGGATACTCACCATTGAGAGGGAGCTGATTATCTTTATCTTCGAAAATTTCAGATGATTCACTACTAGCTGGCTTTAAATCACGTTTAGCATTCCTTTTTTCTAATCTCAACTGATAGAATTCGAAGTACAGCGAAATATGGAAGCTACAGCTGATTTCTTTAAAAAATTTCTTTGGAGTGAAAATCCTATAAAATTTTTAAAAATTAATATCACAAATAAGTAAGTAGAATGAATGCTACTTACCAGTTGTCTTTGAAGTAGTCTGAAAATCAGAATCTTTGAAATGTTCACCACATAACCTAGAATGATCAGTACATTTGAACTTTACTATCCTCAAAGATTTTTCCCATTTTGTTCTCATAACGGTATCTTCAGGAAACTTATAAACTCCCATTTCTTTGCAGCCGAAAGAAGCACAACGACCCATTTCTCTGAATAAAAACAAAAAATCACAAATGTTCCCATATAACCAATGTATCTTTTGATGATTATGTACAACAAATTGACGGTTTGCTTCCCCATTGTTTCTAAATACTGACCATGAAAATATCCTCGGTTTCATTTACTCCTGCTTAATAGACAACTCACCTTCTCAGCAATATTCTGATAAAATAACGAACCTACAGGGCGGCTCGACTGATTCTTCAGAATTCAGAAATGTAAACCGTTACAAGTGATTGCATTTTTCAGACGAGTCTAGGGACCACTTCCGCCTCTCATGAACTCTTTTAGGATCACGAAATTAGACCTTATTATTTTATGATACTATATTGACATAATGTTCTCATTGATCAAATACTCTCAATTGTCACATAATCTAGAGGTCCGTGGTCCGAATCATAGAGAAAAAAGAATTAAATCATCAGACCCCGAATGGGTTGAAGCAAGGTGTTGTGGTCCCTACTTCACAAATACTGTCAATCCTAAACACTTTGACTTCACAATACTCGTTTAAAGAGTATTAAACGAGTATTATGAAATCAAAGTGTTTAGGATTGACAGTATTCGTAAAGTAGCTGATAATTCATGCTAGCGAAATGTTAAGGATACTATAATTTTTTCTGAATATTTTGAAAAATTTCTACTAACCTTTGTATCAAGAAAATCTAAGAATGAAAATATGTTTCTTCATTTCAATGATGCAAGTAATGTTACAGGTATTGGAAGATAATTCAATGAATCTTCAGAGCATGGCTGGTTCTCAGTTTGTAGGACCATTTTTGCCTCAAGTACAGAAGTGGGAAAAGGCTTTGGCAAATATTGGTGAGGTTATAGACGAATGGTTAGCTGTACAGAGAAAATGGCTATATTTGGAGGGAATTTTCGTTGGGGGAGATATAAGAGCTCAACTACCAGATGAAGCAAGGAAATTTGACGATATCGACAAATCGTTCAAAAAGATAATGTTAGAAACAGCAAAAAAACCGATAGTTTTAGAATGTTGTAGTGTACCGGGTCGGCTGGAAGACTTTCAAACCTTAGGTTTCGGACTAGATCGCTGCCAAAAATCCTTAAATGAATATCTCGACTCCAAGCGTCGAAGGTTTCCACGATTCTACTTCATCTCTACTGAGGAATTGCTCTCGATTCTCGGAAGCAGCGATCCCAATGTTGTACAGGACCATATGATCAAAATGTTTGACAATATAAAATCGCTCAGATTCAATTCAGATAGCCAAGAACGCGTTATAGCCAGCGCCATGGTTTCCTCAGAAGGTGAGGTGATGCTGTTTCGGAACCCGGTGAACATCGAAGGGAAAGTAGAGGAGTGGATGAATGACGTTCTCAAAGAGATGCGGCGATCTAATAGGTTTATTACAAAAAGTGCAATATTTTACTATGGAAAAATCCGCCAGCCTCGCACTAAATGGATGTTGGAGTATCAGGGAATGGTTTGTTTGGCAGGAAGTCAAGTATGGTGGACAGCGGAAGTTGAGAACGTATTCGGGAAATTCAAAAAAGGGAACAAACGCGCGATGAAGGAATACCTAGAACAGTTGAACAAACAGCTGGATGAAATTGTGATAACTGTGCGAGCCGACTTAACGGCTAATGATCGAACGAAATTCCGTACGATAGCAATCGTGGAAGTTCATTCACGCGATATCGTTGAAAATTTTGTACGCGACAGTGTAACCGATGCCCAAGAGTTTGAATGGGAAAGTCAACTTAGATTTTACTGGATCAACAATATGGATAATTTATGGGTGACGCAGTGTACAGGTTCCTTCGAATATGGTTATGAATATATGGGGTTGAATGGCAGACTGGTTATAACTCCTTTGACAGATCGAATTTACCTCACTATTACCCAAGCTTTGATAATGCACATGGGAGGCGCACCTGCAGGTCCCGCAGGTACGGGAAAAACCGAAACCACTAAAGATCTAGCAAAAGCCATGGCTCTGCTGTGCATAGTGACAAATTGTGGGGAAGGTATGGACTTTAAAGCCATTGGGACCACGCTTGCGGGTTTGGCACAATGTGGCGCTTGGGGATGCTTTGACGAGTTCAACAGAATCGATATTTCAGTCCTCTCCGTTATTTCCACTCAACTGCAGACTATCCGTAGCGCTCTTATGATGAAATTGGAACGTTTCACTTTCGAGGGTGTCGAAATAAGCCTTGATTCGAAAGTAGGCATCTTCATCACAATGAATCCGGGTTATGCAGGTCGAACTGAATTACCAGAGTCTGTGAAAGCTCTTTTCAGACCAGTCGTGTGTATCGTACCAGACTTGGAAATGATTTGCATGATCTCACTCTTCTCTGACGGTTTCTTGGAGTCGAAAGTATTAGCGAAAAAGATGACAGTACTGTATAAGCTTGCGAGGGAGCAACTATCAAAACAGTTCCATTACGACTGGGGATTGAGGGCATTGAATGCCGTTCTTAGGATGGCAGGAGTCCTGAAAAGAGCTTCTCCTGATATCAAAGAAGCCCTGGTACTCATGAGAGCTCTAAGAGACATGAACCATCCCAAATTTGTGTACGAAGACGTACCTCTTTTCTTGGGTTTAATAAGAGATCTCTTTCCTGGTATGGATTGTCCAAGAGTGGGATATCCCGATTTGAATGCTGCTATCGAAGAGGTACTCAGAGCTGGCGAGTATATCGTTCTGCCGTACCAGGTCGACAAAGTGGTTCAGATGTACGAGACAATGATGACGCGGCATTCCACTATGCTTGTAGGTCCTACAGGAGGTGGTAAAACCGTTGTCATCCAAACACTAGCTAAGGCTCAAACATCGATGGGCTTGAATACCAAAATATATACATTGAATCCGAAGGCATGCTCCGTCATAGAACTGTATGGTATTTTAGATCCCTTGACGCGCGACTGGACGGACGGTTTACTCTCCAATATCTTCAGAGAAATGAACAAACCGACCGAAAAACAAGAAAGACGCTATATTCTATTCGATGGTGACGTAGATGCTCTCTGGATCGAAAACATGAACTCCGTTATGGACGATAATAAGCTACTTACCTTAGCAAATGGCGAGAGGATTCGTTTACAAACACCCGTTTGTGCGCTTCTGTTCGAAGTCGGCGATTTACAGTTCGCCTCACCCGCTACCGTATCCAGAGCAGGAATGGTATACGTTGATCCCAAAAATCTCGGATATCAGCCATATTGGGACAGGTGATGGAATAAATATTTATATAAAAGCTAATAAAAACCATTTGAAAAAAAAACTAAAAATAATCATTCGAACGTGTATGATAAGTATTTTCCTATACAGAAAATCAAATCGAACCGTAAAAAACCGTGGGTGTCGAAAGGACTGAAAAAGTCCTCAAAAAAATTACACTCACTGCATTACATTAGGAAATTTACGAATGACCAATTTATCTATATGTACCTCACGAGGTACCGTGTAATTTACAAATCAACTATCAGGGTAGCAAAGAAAATGTATTACAGAAACAGAATTTGAGAATCAACTAACAAAATTGAAGAGACTTGGTCCATAATAATTGACCTCAGAGGAAAATCAAAGAAAACAAAGGTTGATATCCCATTAAATCCTAACAAAATTAACAAATTCTACTGCACCATTGCTCAAAAGCTAAGCAGCACTATTCGCGTGCCCTATGATCCTTTAATCAATCTAGAAAATTTTATATCGATGATAGCCTCATTTTGTATAACACAGATATTCATGAATTAATTGAAACCTTGAACGACATCAGAAATAAAAATACCGCTGGGTATGATGAGATTTCGGTAAAAATACTTTTAAAACTTTAGTTATTCTCAGTAATGCCTCCTTCGAAACTGGCTCATTCCGTCCTTCTTTTAAGACTTCAATTGTTATTCACCTACATAAAGGTGGTGATTTGCATAATCCCTCCAATCTGCGGCCCATTTCTCTATTTCCAACCTTAGCGAAAATTATTGACAAATTAGTTAATAAACGATCGAATGATTTCTTAAATCTGCATGATATCATGAGTAATAACCAATTTGGGTTCCAGACGGAAAAAGATACATGTGATGCAATATTCTCTTTCCTTAATAAACTTCATTCAGAAATAAATGCTGGTAAAGTAGCTGCCGCAATTTTCTGAGACCTAAAGTCAAACCTAGGGAATCATGCAGAAATTATTTTGCGGCCAATAAGATTTCAACCGTCGTTGCACTGTTCATTCTTTTCAGTAACTTCACAGGGATTTAATATTATCAATAGCACGAACTGCATGTGTGAACTTTTCTAAATGATTTTTCGGTAGGTGTTCCATCAAAGAGATTTTCAATAACAGTTGTAAAAAAAATAATTTTTAAAGAATTTGATTTCTAGGTAGCCGTGGAAATATCGAGCTTATGACAGTTTGGTGACTTTTATAAGTAATTGATGAATGGTTATTGACGGTGTTTCAAAAAATCGCCAGAAATGATTGCAAATATTGATTATTCAAATGAAGTTCTTATGAAATTATTTATTATACACGGACAGTGTGATCAAATCATTGCCAGAACTTGTAGAAAATTCAACCAAATGTATCCTGAATTGACACCAATGAACGAGAGAAAGTTCGTAAGATCACAAAATAATTTCCTTAACTATGGCTCCATGTTGAAAGCGCCTTCAACATTACCAAAACCTGTTACCTACTTCAAATGAGGACAATACTGTTAACGTTTTGGCATATTTTTATGTATATCCAGAAGCTTCCATTCGCAGTGCAGAAAAAGATTTAGGTGTCTCACATGCTTCGGTACAACGAATTTTGAAAAATCACGGAATGCATCCGTATAAATTTACCAAAGTTCAAGCTCTAAAAGCAGAAGACTTCGAACGTAGAATGCATTTTTGTGAATCCCTTTTGATTCATACACAGGAAGATCGGGAATTTTTGTCAAAAATAATTTGGAGCGACGAATCAAAATTTACAAGGGATGGAATAAACATTTTTGGGCTGATCATAATCCTCACGTTACAAAAGAAATGGGTTTTCAAGAAAAATTTGACCTGAATGTTTTCTGTATTCTGAAGAACAATAAAATTAGCATTTTTATTTATGAAGACACACTGAATGCAGAGAGATATCTCCAAATATTAAGGACGACTGTAACCGATTTTCTTGAAAATTTGCCTTTAGAGAAATATAGGAATTCGTGGTTTCAACTGGAGGGAGCGCCAGCTCATTCCACCCAGGAAGTTTCCAGGAAACTTGACGAACTCTTCGACGATCGTTGGTTTAGGCGCTTAGGGCCGTGGGATTGGCCACCGAGATCACCCGATTTCACGCCACTTGACTTTTTTTTACAGTACAGTACAGTACGCCAGTGCCTACCAAAGAAGAATTGCGACGGCGAATAGTGCGGAGTATAGAAGATCTGGATCCCCAGGAAATTGAAAAAGCAACCACAAGTCGCATACAAAAAAATATTTTAAAGTGTTTAGAATGTAATGGACAACATTTTCAGCTTTCAGCATTTATTGTGAAAATGTGATATTTTGTTTACAATTTTGTTATTTTGAATCATCCTATTCTGTTATTGTCTGTACTTTCACATGTTTTAGCCCACAAAATCTTACTTTTTACCTAGATATGACTGATTTTTAGTACAGTTGTTCTCTGGCAACTTTGAGTCATAGTTAAGGAAATTATTTTGTAACCTTACAAACTTCCTCTCGTTCATTGGTGTTAATTCAGGATACATTTAGTTGAATTTTTCACACGTTCTGACAATGATTTGATCACTTTGTTCATGTGTATAATAAATAATTTCATAAGAACTTCGTTTGAATAATCGATATTTGCATTCATTTTGGAAGATGATTCGAAACACCGTCGATAACTCTTTGTAAATTACTTATAAAAGTAACCGAACTGCTATAAGCTTGATAATTCCACTGCTACCTAAATCCAAATTCTAAAAAAAGATAATGTTTCTAGAAGAAGCGACTTTATTGAGAAAACTTGACGATTTAGGTATAGGGACATGATATATCATGTTGAAGCATTTTTCACCATCTTTCAATTTATCGAGTAATATACAGGGGATTTTATTTGAAAAAATTAACTTTTGACTACTTTTATGCACAATGGAAATAATAGTAATTTTAGCACGCCCTGTATGATATGGAGTCGATTTCTTGGTGTTATTTGAATATTTCGAGTTTGTCCAAACTATCATCAAAATATCAACTTTTCATGAATTGAGAGTACTGATGTACTTAATTTCAATTAAAGCTATGTTCTGGACCATATTTAGCACAATTTATTTTTTATCTCGAAAACAGATAGATATAGGTATAGGACATTATTAACAAAAAAGTATTAAAATACTAAAGCGATTCCAAAAATGTATTAATATACGGGGTGTTCCATTTAAAAAAAATAAAGTTGCTAGGACTTTTTGATGGAAGTGGCAACGCCGCAATGCTGAAAATATTTTAGATCGATAGAACAGGTAAGGAAATGTGAGAGGTGAAATTTTCAGAAAAACTATGCTTTGCGTTTTCCAGAAACGTCTAACCTACCATCGACCGTGAGTCACGCTGTATATATTCCATAAAAATGTTCAACCACGATAAAATAGAAGTAAGCCTCCGATAAAAAATCTGTCAATAGATTGCTAATATTAAATAAAAAAATGTTAGCAAAAAGTCAAAATAGTTTCCATAAAGGCTTTATGAACCATGCTTGTATATTTTTTAATTATATTGTTTTCCAAATAGGTGGGTGAAAGGACGAAGAAACCCACTGGAGCGAGAAGCTTTCCAAGAACTTTATGTTAAGTTCGTTCCGGATTTGATGAATTATGTCCTAGAAGGAACTCTTGGAAATAGACAGGTTAACCCTTTGAAGACAGTCATTTCGCAGACCGGGCTGAACATGATAACACAATTGTGTTATATGTTAGATGCAATCAAACCACAACCAGTGGATGAAGTTATTAATTCTGAAGAACCTGTCGATACGGACCTGCTAAGCGCCGTATTTGTAACTTGTCTGTATAATTCTGTGGGTGCAGCTCTGATAGATGATTGCCGATTAGAGTTTGATGATTACATGAAGACACAGATATCACTACTGCCAGCAGATGACAATATGGATGATAGGTCTGATCTCAGGCATATTCCTACAGCTTTTCCTACCCTATATGACTATTTCTTGGACATTAAAGAAGAACGGTGGGTTGCTTGGAAGTGGCTGGTTCCTGAATATGTTCATGAAAGAGAAAAACGGTTCTCAGAAATTTTAGTACCAACTGTAGACACTGTGAAAGTAACATATCTATTAAATCTGATGAACAAAATCAGAAGACCCATCATATTAATAGGTGAAACGGGCACTTCAAAAACCGCCATAATCCAGGATTTTCTTCGAAACTTGGATCAAGAAGTGTACATTTTATTGAATATCAACTTTTCTTCCCGAACCTCCTCAATGGATGTCCAAATGAACTTGGAATCATCAGTGGAGAAAAGAACTAAGGAAATATATGGTCCTCCGATGGGGAAAAAGCTTATTTGCTTCATAGACGACATGAACATGCCTCAAGTGGACGAATATGGCACGCAACAACCAATAGCCCTTCTCAAGTTATTGTTTGAAAAGGGCGGTTTTTATGACAGAGGTAAAGACCTGAACTGGAAGCTGCTGAAAGACATTTCATACTTCGCTGCAATGGGTGTTGCCGGCGGTGGAAGAAACGAAGTTGATCCTCGATTCATGTCTATGTTCACCGTAATAAACTTAGTATTTCCAACATCGTCAACCCTTCAGCACATTTATGAATCTATTTTGAGTGGACACCTTTCAGTGTTTTCAGAGGAGGTGCAAATTGCACCGATCCTAATGACAATCACTCTGAACTTATATAATATCTGCGTCTCACAACTACCCCCAACACCCAGCAAGTTTCATTATATCTTTAATATGCGGGATTTGTCTCGGATAACAGCTGGAATGTGTATTACGACACCAAAATTTTTTTCGACTCTACCTCAAATAGTAAGAGTTTGGAGGAACGAATTTACGCGAGTGATATGCGACAGACTGATTAACAATGAAGATCAGGTGTTAATGTCTACCAATATATTGGATCAGCTAAACAAAGGTTTTCCGAAAAAAGAACCACAAGTCAAAGAAAAACCAAATGTTGATGATGAAGATTTTGTTTTTCGTCCCGACGAACCACCTGCTGAGATCGAGGAAACCCATGAAGATCGAGTCGACGTTGTGGATTATGTCATGAGAGATCCTCTCCTCTTTGGCGACTATCGAAACGCATCGAACGAAGGTGAACCTCGCTTTTACGAAGACTTGCTGGACTATGATGCTATCTATTTCTTATTTCAAGAACTGATAGAATTATATAACGAACGTAAGTCGAAAATGGACATCGTGCTCTTCAACGATGCTTTAGAGCATTTGACGAGAATTCATAGAGGATTGCGACTAGAAAGAGGGCATGTAATGCTGGTGGGGGTCGGTGGATCAGGAAAAAGAAGCTTGACCTACCTTGCTGCATTCACTGCTGGATGTGAAGTATTTGAAATCACTCTCTGCAGGGGGTATAATGAGACAATGTTCAAAGAAGATTTGAAAAAATTATACTCCCAATTGGGAATTGACAGGAAGCCGACGGTGTTTTTCTTCACAGCAGGACAAATTGTGGAAGAAGGATTTCTAGAGTTCATTAATAATATATTGATGATTGGGTACGTTCCGTCTTTATTCACAGATGACGACAAAGAACAAATCATAAACCAATGTAGAATTCCCGCTAAAAACGCCGGATATGGTATTGCGAAAGACAGCGTCTGGCATTACTTTATCCACCAATGCCAAGACAACTTACACGTAGTATTGTCTATGTCTCCAACAGGGGAAATTCTCAGCAAGCGATGTAGAAATTTCCCAGGTTTGGTAAATAATACCACCATAGATTGGATATTTCCTTGGCCATTACAAGCTCTGATTGCCGTAGCCTCAGTTTTCCTCAAAGAATACCCCAGAATACCAGAGCAATACAGAGAAAGTATTATAGATCATGTTGTATATGTCCATAACACGGTGATTCAATATAGCGTAGAGTTTCTCACAAAACTGCGAAGGAAGAATTATGTTACTCCTAAACATTATTTAGATTTCATTAACACTTACCTGCGGCTGCTGGAAGAAAAGGATAATTATATAAACTCACAATGTGAAAGACTGAAGAGTGGTTTGACTAAAATAGCCGAAGCTAGTGGAGAACTAGACATTCTCAATAAAAAGTTGGCCAAACAAAAAATCATCGTGACACAGGCGACGAAAGAATGTGAAGCCATGTTAGCAGAAATAGAAGTTGGTACGAAAAAAGCCACTGATAAAAAAGATGTTGCATCACTGAAAAGTACAGAAATCGAAGAACAAGCAAGAATTATAAGCATAGAGCAAGCAGAAGCTGAAGACGCACTATCTGAAGCCTTACCCGCTCTGGTTAAAGCTCGACTGGCACTATCTGATCTTGATAAATCCGATATAACTGAAATTCGATCATTCGCAACGCCGCCAGAACCAGTCCAGACCGTCTGCGAATGCGTTCTAATCCTAAGAGGCTATAAGGAAATTTCATGGAAAGCTGCCAAAGGAATGATGGCTGAAAGTAATTTCCTGAGGAGTCTTCAAGAAATGAACTGTGACGTGATTACACAAGCACAGCAAAGAGCTTGCAAGGCACACATGAAAAAATCAACAAAATTGGAAGACATGGCTACTATCAGTAAGGCCGGTTACGGTTTATTGAAGTTCGTTCAAGCTGTACTTGGGTACTGTGCAGTATACAAAGAGGTTAGACCGAAACAAGAGAGAGTGGAACAGTTACAAAATGATTATAATGCGGCAAAGCGATTTTTGGAAAAGCTCTATAATGAAATCACTCGACTCGAGGACGATCTGAATAAACTGAATGAAAAGTATGCTGCCGCGATGAAACGAAGAATGGAACTACAAGAGGAGACTGATATAATGATGAGAAGGCTTCAGGCTGCCGATAAATTGATATCAGGCTTGAGTTCAGAGCAAGCTCGATGGACGGAAGATCTGAAACAACTGTATCTGGAAAAGGAGCGCCTGGTTGGAAACTGTTTGTTGTGTTCCGGATTTCTCGCCTACTGCGGACCATTTACTTACGAATTCAGAAGGGAAATGGTATACATAGAATGGCAAAAAGATATATTAGCAAAAGAAATTCCGTTATCTCAACCATTTAGGTTAGAAAAAAATTTGACTACAGATGTTGAAATTAGCACATGGACGTCGGAAAATCTTCCGCCAGATGAACTTTCTGTCCAGAACGGCATACTTACAATCAGGTCGTCTAGATTTCCGCTGTGTATTGACCCACAGCAACAAGCTCTGAATTGGATTAAAAAAAGGGAAGAGAAAAATAACTTGAAGATCCTCAGTTTCAGTGACTCAGACTTCCTGAAACATTTAGATATGGCTATCAAATACGGATCCCCGGTTCTATTTCAAGACGTAGATGATTATATTGATCCCGTGGCTGAAAACGTTATACAAAGAAATCTAAAGAGTATAGGAGGTAGAGTTTTTGTCATCCTCGGAGATAAAGAAGTTGATTGGGATCCGAACTTCAGATTGTATATGACAACTAAGTTCGCGAATCCTATATTTAATCCATCAGCATACGCAGTTGCGATTGTAATTAATTACACAGTGACGTTATCTGGATTAGAAGATCAGCTTCTAAGTGTGGTTGTCAGAAATGAGCGTCCAGATCTAGAAGAACAGCGGGAACATTTGATAGCTGAGACTAGTGTGAACAAAAGTCTGTTACAAGTTCTGGAAGACTCACTTCTCAGGGAGTTATCTACAACAACGGGCAATATGCTGGATAATGTGGAGCTCATAACCACGCTAGAGAATACCAAAACAAAGGCTACGGAGGTAATGGAGAAGCTTACACTCGCTATTGAAACCTCCAAAGATATCGATAAATTGAGAGACGGATACCGTTCCGTTGCCAAAAGAGGAGCTGTGCTGTTTTTTGTCTTGTCAGATATGGCAGGTGTCAATGCTATGTACCAATATTCTTTGGCTTCTTATCTGGAGGTTTTTGCCTACTCCTTGAGAAAAGCTATGCCTCACACTCTGCTCATGAGACGGTTGCAGAATATCATCAATACACTCACCAAAAATGTTTACGACTATGGATGTACTGGAATTTTTGAGAAACACAAGCTCTTGTACTCATTCCAAATGACTGCCAAACTGGAACAGAATGAGAAGAATATTTCACAAGCTGAACTTGACTTCTTTATCAAGGTAATTACTAATACCCACTTACATAAAATATATTCGTTTTCACTTTTCTAAATTCAATTCAGTTTCTTGTCCCAAGAAAAAATTAATGCTAAATACGAAACTGTTGGGTTAATGAAGTCGTTAACAATTGAAACTCCGTCGAAGTATCTTCAGTTATGTTATCTTCTGTCCTCACTGTGCATTCTTACTACTGATATTATTTTACGATTGTTGAAGTTGGTACTGATGCATTATGTCAGTCATACCGCTATAATATTTTGTGTAAAATACTGTGATCTTGAAAGATATATTCTCATGAGTCTCCACAATTATGGTTTTAGAATTGTGAATATCATTGCAATATACAATTTTTCAGTTCTAATTGAATGGAACCNCCCTTTCCTTGGAAGATTCCCTCATCCTTGTTTTTTGTATCAAGATGGAGTAGTAGAAAGCCAAAAACTTTCTTTCCCAAAACATTTTTTTATATTAGATAGTCCTCAGTCAGATCCATTGTAGAATTTAGTAGGTACTGCAATTTATAGTGCGAATCTCTAACATGAAACAAATTCACTAAATCAGAGGTGTTGTTTCTTTCGGAAATATGCTCGGACACGTCGATTAGTATTTTAAATACCCTTTATTTCAATGCAAAAAAAATATATACAGTGTGTCTCAAATATGAGATATGACTTCATCAATATTTTTTTTAATGACAACCCTGTTTGCACATGCCCTGTTGCACATGCCTGCCAAATTTCAATTTTTTACTCCTTGTCCTTTGAAAGATATTTAACAAACATTATCTAATTCAAAAAATTAATTCAATTCAATAGTCTTTCTTCAATAAATGCTTAGAATGTCAGGGGTACCTGACAGTGACATTGTCATAAAGAAGTTATCAAAAAAAAGTAAGAAGAGTATTTCGCATTCCAATCATATCTGTGCATAAAAACTGTTAGTCGTTTCACAGTTTGTTTTTCGCCATTAGTAAAATGCCGTATTTAACTGAAACACATAAGATTTAAATTCTAATGATGATTGGCTACGGAGATAGGACAAGAACACAAAATGAAGTTACCCATTTATTCCGAGAGAAGTATCCTGATTTACCACCCATATCGTGAAGTACCGTAAGCAAGATCGAAAAACAGTTCCGGGAAAATGGGCATTTAAGAAAAACAAATAATCATCGTCGGAGTGCGCTCACTGTAGAGGTCAAAATAAATGTTCTTCTCTCTGTCGAAGAAAATCCCTATGTCCCCACTAGGCAGATAGCTAGGGAACTCGAAATTAGCCAGTCTTCAGTGGCAAGAGTTCTTGAAGCTGAAAAATTTCATCCATATAAAATAACAATCTTCCAGGAACTCCTCGAAGATGATCCAGATAGAAGACTCCAGTTTTGCGAACAAATGATGGATCTACTAGACAGGAATGTTGTACAAAAAAAAGGTTATATTTTCTGACGAATCAACGTTTATGTTGAATGGTGTGGTAAATCGTCAAAATTGTCGTTTTTGGGCAGACAGAAAACCCACACTGGATGAGCGAAGGCCACACTCAATATCCAGAAAAAGTCAATGTTTGGGCAGGGATTGTTGGTGATCGAGTTACGGGACCAATTTTCTTCCAAGAAAATTTTACTGGAGCAAGATATTCAGATTAGAATTCTTGCAGGAGGACCTAGTTCCGAATTTGGCTATTTTGTTCCCTTGTCCTATAGAAGCTGACGTCCCGAATAAAAACATCTGGTTTCAACAGGACGGCGCGCCTCCTCATTTTGTAAGACCTGTCCGTGAGTACCTTAATGATGTATTTCCAGGCAAATGGCCACCTAGGTCTCCGGATTTAACACCTTTGGACTTTTTCTTATGGGGTTACTTGAAGAGCAAAGTTTTTAAGACCAAACCGGCAAATATTGAGGATTGAAAAGAACGAATAAGACAGGAGTGAAGGCTAATTTCCGGCGAAGTAATCAGAAATGTTCAAAACGAGTTTCAGTTACGTTTAGGGTATTGTCAGTTAGTAAATGTACAACATTTTGAATACTTGTTAAAGAAAGACTATTGAATTGAATTCATTTTTTGAATTAGATAATGTTTGTTAAATATCTTTTAAAGGACAAGGAGTAAAAAATTGAAATTTGGCAAGCATGTGCAACTTGTTGAACCCTTCAATGAAAGTTATTAAAAAAAACAGGGTTGTCATTTAAAAAAATTATCGATGACGTCATATCTCATATTTGAGACACACTGTATATTTTTTTCGCATTAAAATAAAGGCAATTCAAAATACTTATCGACGTGTCCGAGCATATTTCCGAAAGAAACAACACCTTTGATTTAGTGAATTAGTTCCATGTTAGAGACTCGCACTGTATATTACAACAAACACATTAATCTTATTGAAAGTGTACAAAATGAAATATGTTGGTGATGAATTAATTTAGTAGTGGGTGAATATGATTATAATATGGTAAGGAATATGATTTTTTCACCATATCTCAAGGATTATAGAACAATGTGGCATCATTGACTCATCTTTCTAAACTGTATCTGTCCCAACTGGGCCATCTTGTATATGTTAAAATAAGACATTATGTATCTACTGTATGAAGTTCATTTTTTTTCAACAATTCAAAACTAAACTAAATCATTTAACTCTTGTGTAAATTACACTTTGTGTACTCTGTTAATCGAATTGAGGTTTTCCGGTTTGCAAATGGATAAGAATAAATGGATGAAAGATTTCAAAACTGTCCTATTCAAACTCTGAAAATTGAATTGAATTGAATTGAACAATTTTCAGGGTTCAGTCAGCCTGGAAAAGTCAACTCGCGAATGTCCAGCGAAGTGGCTTTCCTCTCAAGGCTGGGAAAACATCATGAAGTTGTCCAACGATTTCCAAGATACCTTTAGTAAACTCCCCCAAGATATCGAACACAATCTCGATGTGTGGGGAGAGTGGTACGATATGGATGCACCAGAAGAAGCCGACTTCCCCTGCGACTATAAACAAAATTGTACACCTTTTCAAATATTAATGTTGCTCAGGTGTTTTCGAATCGACAGAGTGTATAGAGCCGTGGGAAATTATATAACGGCAATAATGGGAGAAGAGTACATTATGCCTCCAGTCATTAGTTTGGATAACATCTACGAGCAGAGCAGCCCCTTGACACCCGTTGTATTCATTCTCAGTCCGGGTTCGGATCCAACAGCAGAATTAATGAAGCTGGGAGACAGGTAATTGTAATGATCAAACTTTCTGTATTTTGGCTAAAATTATTATCATTTTCTGACGAGAAAACTCACTTTTGCATAAGGTTGAAAATTCAGAAAGTGTAACATGAATTATTTTTCTTTTCCTGAACATACTCACAACGTTTCACAGGTCCAGGTTTTGCCAAAGTTTTCGAATGCGTCAATAGTAATTTTAATAAGCTATCTGTAGATCAAAACTAGTGAAACTTTGTTGGTCATCAATGACTAACTTTCTTCTATATGAAGGCTATTTCCCAGTTTTTTTGGACGTGGATTGCAGGTTTTTATGCCTGACGTTTCGTCTACTACTGCGGTAGACATTATCAAATACGATGTGATAACGGTCGCAGTGCCCAAATTGGTGCTCCCGTTGTTACGATGACATTCACTTTGGTTTTATATTCTTATTAGTGGGCGTGGCTTGGTTTATATAGAAATGTGGTTTCAGTTTCAGTTGATACGTCAAGAAGAGTACTTCGACCACGGCACTGCAGTTGAAACGTTTGAAGATTGTAACCAAAGAAGACCACGGCAAAACCCGGAAATTAACCAAAACGTGGCTTGGTTTCTCTTCATTGGATTACCTGACCTTGTTTGAGTACTTCTCGGGACAGGTAGCCAGACTATATTGATGTTTATTGCCTCTTCTTTTCTATTGAAATCATCCCTGTGTTTTTAAATGTCTATTGCCTTTCTACACTCGCCTTTGATGGTGTCTACCGCAGTAGTAGCCGAAACTTCAGGCATAAAAACCTACAGACAATGGCCAAAAACCTCGGATAATAGCCTTCACACACTTATATCCGGCTGTGAAAGTTTACATTATTTTATAGCAGGGGAGCCCACGATGCAAAATGGGGATTTACTCGAGCGTCATAGAGACCTATTAGGTTGCAAAGCTTAGATGATAAGAAGAAAAAACTGTTATATAATATATACCTTTTCATCGCTGGGGGAAGCTGCTATAGATTATTAAATATGTAAAAAAAAAACTGTTGCATGGACATACTCGAGCGCGTCAGATATTGATACCATCAATGTCCGACGTATTTTCAATAATGTTGGTATGTTAATCTGATCGTTTGTATGATGTGGGAGGTTGCACGTAAGGGTTAAATATGAAAAAAAAAAATCAATCGAGCGTGTCAGATTTTCTTAGGGGGTGTTAAGTGCACCAAAAAAAGTTTTCATTCCATAATCTGACGATTTCGATCTGACGCAAACTTGCGGCCATTATTATAAAGTGCAAAAAATCATCATTTTGAAATACTCAAGCGCGTCAGATTAAGATATATATGGTTCATCTTTATGCTTTAGACGTGCTGTCTCATAATCTGACGATTATCTAGAGGGATTCGCCTAATCTGACAAAATATTTTTTAATTTCACTTTTCTTCAATATGATTTCTTACCACGTAGTAACGGCTACATCCATCAATTAATTGATTAATTGATCATCATCTTCATCACGAACGAGACTCTGCGATCAGCTGTGATGGCGTCATGGCAACAGAATTCAGAGTGCGGACGGAGTAAGAGAGTAATAGATAGAAAAAAAGTGAATAGAGAATAGAGGAATAGAAACTCAGAGAGGGAAATATAGGTATCATACAGCTGCACGCATTGAACTTTATCGACAAATTTTTATTATTTCGGCTTGCGGAAATCGTCAGATTATATATTTCTCGTTATCTTTGAATTATTTCCTTCAAAATAAAAAAATTAGCTACGCTCGAGAATGTTGAAATGACGTTTTTTACAACTTTGCTGCCCTCCCCTTTCTTTACGTCACTCTCAAATTGTCAGATCACTGGAATATACACTTTTCAGCATGTACTTAACCACCCTACCTTAATCTGACGCGCTCGATATCATTTTTTTTTACTAATCTGATCATTTGTCCTTCATGAGCGGCCTTATATATGGGGCTCATATTTGGTGGAGGTACTTAACCGGGTACAAGGTATCCCCCTGTATATTAATCTGCCGCGCTTCAGTAAATCCTGAATTCCCCGCTTGGGCTCCCCTATTATTACCTTTCTTCTATCGCTCCGATTCTCAAGAATAGTGTGCTCGTATCATTATCTCAAATGGACCTTCTAATACTAATGAAGTGAGTTATCATTGAAACCTAAGACTTGTTCAGAAGTAAAATAGTACCCCCATCTTCAATATTGGCCTTCAGAGAGACACACACACCTCTCAGTGTTGCATGCATTGTTACCTTTTGCGGTAGTACATTCGTAGCTGTATACCCACGAAAAACAAGGGTCTGAAAATATGATTTTGAGAATGATATATGTATGCTCTGTTTAGACTCGAACTTGACCAGAGAGTCCATCAGAGAAAATTTATGATAAGCTTATACAAAGTTGTATCGGCTGCGATACTGGGCATGGTAATAATGGGCTTGTAATTTTTATTTAGTCCTGTCTATTATATTTGTAAACAAACAGATTTTTTGTACCTCTTTTTCAAACTTTTTTGCTCATAAACACCTGTAAGTACGGGGTCAATTACGGAGAGTATTCACATGTTTACAATAATCATAAACAAAATGAATAGGTATGACGACAGTATCAAAAAATTGCCGATTTAATGGTTTCAGGAGAAAATTCACATTGAAAAAAATTAAAACACTGCTTTAGTTTCATTTAACAAATCAGATTATCAAAATTTTCAATGAATTAAAACATTAAAATACTGCAATTGGCCAATTTAGCCGAAACACCAATAAGAGGGCATGACGTCACGCTTAGGTAAACTCCCGCGTCAATACTCTCATTCACTGTGTTTTGTTGTTGTCAATAACACTGATTGGATTGATTTTTTGTTATTTTACTTGTGATTATTTATCGACCTCACTCTACTATAACAATTAAACCAAGCTTTCTTAAGGCAAATAGCTCAAATTTGCCCAGAATTGATGTATTAATGTTGGGCGATTTCCTTGCAACAAATAAACGTCTTACTCGTCTGAGTTTAAAAACGTGAAAACTTCCTTGTAAGTAAATGTTGTATTTACCTTTACCCTAGATACAACTAATTTAGATATAATCAAATTCGTTTTCAACTCATGCGAGTTTATTTTACTTTCATAGGTTATTTTTACAATAAACTTGTCATTGTTTATTTATGAGGTTAGCTCCCTCATAGCTTGTAAGTTGCTATTTCAGAGTTAATAACCATGTTTATACCCGATAAAAGTGAACGATTGAAATTGGTAATAAGAATGATAGCCAAGACCAAAACAAACATAACCTCAATAAACTAGATATTCTATAGCCTCAATATTTCAACTATTTAACGTCAAACAAACGTTTTTAGTTTAAAACCTATCAATATATGATAACATACTCGCATCATAGTGGTCTTCACAGAAATGAAGTGGCGAATTCGTGACTACGTCGTTCGGGTTTCGCCGAGCGAGCTTTAACCACTTATCTCTTATCATTTTTTTGTTTGGAACATGTAGGTACAGACACTTTGTCGGGTGTTCTTATTGATGTGTTTTTACATTGCGGTACTGCACACCACTTATAAAGTTTGAAATTCATTTTTATCACACGTTTTATGAGGTTAGCTCCCTCATAGCTTGTAAGTTGCTATTTCAGAGTTAATTACCATGTTTATACCCGATAAAAGTGAACGATTGAAATTGGTAATAAGAATGATAGCCAAGACCAAAACAAACATAACCTCAATAAACTAGATATTCTATAGCCTCAATATTTCAACTATTTACCGTCAAACAAACGTTTTTAGTTTAAGACCTATCAATATATGATAACATACTCGCATCATAGTGGTCTTCACAGAAATGAAGTGGCGAATTCGTGACTACGTCGTCCGGGTTTCGCCGTGCGAGTTTTAACCACTTATCCCTTATTATTTTTTTGGTTGGAACATGTACAGACACTTTGTCGGGTGTTCTTATTGATGTGTTTTTATATTGCGGTACTGAACAACACTTATGAACTTCGAAATTCATTTTTATCACACGAATTAATTTTGTTTGGATGTAATAATTAATAAGCACAACTTAGAGATAAATTATTAAGTTTAGAAGAGGAAGTAACAACCAGCTTGAGGTTATTAGTTACAAAAATGTTACCAACCTAACAAATTTAATGTTTTGTTTACTTTCTTCCCTACGCATAGACATAATGACATGTTTACCTAAGCGTGACGTCAGAGCCGAAGCCATGACACTTGCGATCTGTTTTCGAACACTATTGAAAAAATATTAGCAAAATGGCTATAAACTTTGTTAAACTCAAGTTTATCACCGAAATAAAGGTTTTCTCGTAAATATTAAATGTGTACCCACATTACGAAACAGTAATTCAAAATCTTTCGTTACGCCTATTTAGGTATGTTTCAAGGTTGTGTAATTCCTTAGAATTGAGAAATCTTCGAGGAGTAAAGCGAGGGCACTCGAACTTTTTTCTAGGCTATCGGTTAGCCAAGGTCATAAATACATACTTTTGAAATAAAAAAAAAGTTTTTCGCGATACTTCTCATATTCCATAAGGTGGTACTGTCTGAGATTGTTCATTTCATTATCAGCGTTACCAGTTGAAGCCATTTATTTCCTTCGCCTATAATTGAAATTCAGAAATCTGAGTGAGAAGAAGTAGATTGAAATATTTTTTATGAAGATTCAGTCATAATCAACCGTTTTCTCGTCGGAAGTCCACCCAATTTTTCATTGGAAGACCACCCATTTTTTCGTTGGAAGAATTAATATTTGGAATATTTTTTTCAGATGTGGTTTTGGCGGTGGAAAATTCAAATATCTTTCATTGGGACAAGGACAAGAGCCGACTGCACTGAACCTATTAGATATAGCAATCTCCAGAGGGCAGTGGTTGATGTTTCAGAACTGTCACCTCCTCATTTCATTCATCAAAAGACTCGAGAAACAGCTAGAAAAAATCAGCAAACCCCATCCAGATTTCAGGTTGTGGCTAACTACTGACCCGGTGGAGACTTTTCCAATCGGAGTACTGCAAAGATCTTTGAAAGTCGTTACCGAACCGCCTAACGGTCTCAAGTTGAACCTGCGTAATACATACTTCAAAATGAGAGCACAGACACTGGAATCTTGTCCTCACCCCGCGTACAAATCACTGATCTACGTGCTTGCCTTTTTTCACGCTGTTGTGCAAGAGAGGCGTAAGTATGATAAAATCGGTTGGAATATTTGCTACGATTTCAATGAGTCCGACTTCAACGTTTGCGTCATGATTCTCAATACTTACCTAAGTAAAGCGATCAAGGCTAAGGATTCTAGGATACCTTGGAATAGTCTCAAATACCTAATAGGTGAAGTGATGTATGGAGGAAGAGTTATAGATGATTTCGATAGAAGAATAGTGGCTACTTATATGGACGAGTATATGGGGGACTTTTTATTCGATACATTCCAACCTTTTCATTTCTACAAGGACAATACGGTGGATTATGTTATTCCCCCAGACGGAGAGAAGGATAATTATATAGGTAAAGAATAAAAATTCACGCGTACACCATACTGCGTGCTTTAGTTTTGATTTGAAAAGTATACTTGGTTCAAGAAGATTGGGTTCGGCATATCCTCGATGTGTGATTTTGCTGGAAATTATTGGTGAACTAGGCTGTTGTATTAGCGAATTCCATAAATGCTGCAAACTTGGATAGTTCTTCAGGTTCATTTCCATTCCACACACCCAATATTAATTTCACGTTGTTTATTACTTTTCAGACTTTCTCAATGCCCAGATATCTCTGTAACCTTTTTGTCAAAATCATTGATCGCAACAAATACCGGCATAATTTTTCACTAGAAACTTCTTTCTCTGATTGTCTGATGCCACCTTCATGATTCTCACCTTTATCGAATGGTTAGGTCCAAACTGAGTGGGTCTATTTGACCCCCCAACGTAACCCGCTAGGGTTCATTGTGGCTCACACTTATTCACACTCGACCAAATAAACCCAGCTTCTTAATGAAGTCGGTAAGTTTGTATGGTGAGTGGTCTTTCAGGTCAGATGGCAAGAGTACGGCTCTGCCGAACTCTAAAAACTGATTCGATCCCCAGCGGGGCAGGCACAAAGTATGTGCTCTGCTGTTTCATCATTTTTCAAACAGAGGCGACACAGTGTCTTCCAACAGTCAAGTCTCTGCATATGATGATTCAAATGACAGTGACCTGTAACAAGGTCTATTAGACATCATAGTTCATCCCTACTGTAGTCCAACAACTGTTTGTTATCAAGCTTCGAACGGTGAATAAACGCCTTGGAGTGAGCCAATTGTGACACCATCCAGGTGTTCAATATTTGTTAGGCAAAGCCTAAAGCGATGCCAATGGAGGTTCTGGTCTGATGAAGCTTCTTGCAGCACCTTTCTTTGCAAGGGAGTCAGCAGCCTCATTGCCTTCTACGCCAGTATGACCAGGAATCCAGACCAGAGACAATCTGTTAAGTTTTCCTATCGAGGAGAGTCGTTTTTGGCAATTTGCTACCAATTTAGACGTTGCTCGGTAGGAGCCAAGAGCTCCTACCGCTTGACTTTCCGAGAACATCTAACTTCCAGTTCTAAAACTTGTGAATAATATTTATCAAACTTATGACGGTTTTGGACTAGAGTCCATTTGTCCCATTTTATCCAAACATTGATCAATAGATGGTATTGTTTGCTGTTCTCTTCATGTCTTTGTAGAAAGTAATAGCTCCACCATTTTTACACTGAAAATAATATGTAGTCTTATTGACATTCTATTTTCGAATCTTTTGATTCTGACAAACCGTTATTTTCACATCTCGACACGTTAACACCTCGACCGTTATTTTAACACCTCGACACATGTTTCGATCTCCAAGTGATCATCTTCAAGAGGAAAATATTCTGATCAGTTTGATCTTCCTCTTGAAGATGATCACTTGGTGACCGAAACACGTGTCGAGGTGTTAAAATAACGGTTTAGTGTTGGGAAAAAACTCCACTAATATTCATTACCACACCAAAGGTTCCAGACAGTGCATCAGAAGGACATTATCCATGATGATTATAGAATTTTCCCAATAAATTTTATTTAAGACGTGTTTCGGTACAGGGTAGCTTGAATACAATTCAATGTGAAAATTACACAATTATTATCATGTATAATTCATTTTTTTATTGTGAATCCATCATTTATCGATGTGTACATTTTAGATTTCATCGATGAGTTACCATTAACAAATAGTCCAGATGTCTTTGGGTTGCACCCAAATGCGGAAATTGGATATTACACTCAAGCTACAAAAGAAATGTGGAGACTATTGATTGAGTTACAGCCTCAAACTTGTGAGTTTATTTTCATATCACTGTTTTCGTAAAATGGTTATTTGATCTTCAGTGGCTCAGTTGAAATACTGGAATCAATACCTATTGTATTATAGCTTTTTATATCCAATGGATCAAACGACCTACCTTAAAGAGGTTCAATCCAAATCATATAAACATATTGGTTCTTCCATATTTAACTCACTGTACAGGGTGAGTCAGATTCCCTCGAGCCATTGCTATTAGGGATAACAATTATCCGAATTCCTCTTTTTTTTTCGCAATCATATCGATAAATACTATCTTTAAAAATTATTTTTCCGCATACTGGGTGATTCAGCCGAGCGTGGCTAAGCAAAGTTATATTTTTTCAAATGGAACACTCAGTATGACTAAGTCACTCGATCCCATATTGTTTTAGCTCTCTAAGGAGCTTTTGTTTTTCAATTTCCATTGCGACATTGTCAAGTTATTTCAGAAAAACCTATTTTGCAGACTATTTTTTTTAATTCACCACCCGCGTGTCTACAGCAATTAAGTGGATTTTTTTAGGAATAGTTATTCAACATCACTATGATAATTTCGGGAATCTAAACTTTCGGAAAAAATATATAGGGTGCTCGGTAAAAACGGTCAAGTTTCATTCATTTTCAAACAGACATAATTCAACCTTCTCAAATGGATCACCCTATATTTTTTCATTTGTATGAAATTTTTCAATATTTCACAACATTTTTCATCAGATATATCATATATGAAAAACATATATTTTACAAATTATACCCAGTTTTATTAATTGTTGTAATCATAATAAATGCATTTATTTACGTTCACTTACTCAACATTTTTTCAATATGAACAATAACGCCTGAATTTTTTATTGAATAGAGGAGTCCAAAAGATATTCAAAATGACAACCATTTTTTGCAACACGTAATGCCAGTCAATTTTTAAACGAACACGCTACAGGTCCACCCCTACCTATCCATTTTTGATTGAAATGATAGTTGATGTATTCCCGTACCTCAGTTTAAAAATGTGGTGATGCACCATCTTGTTGTAGCCACATTCTAAGTCTTGTTCTACATGGAACCACGTTCAGTAAATTCGAAAATTAATGCCAAAAAAATCTTACATATTTCCTTTCAGTGAGATGCCCATTCATCAGAAAATAACAGGAAATCGAAAAAATAATTTTGCTGATTGATCTTTTCTAAGCCCCATCGGCAAAATTGAACACGTTTTTCAAAATCTCTTAACTCTTGCATCAATTGCATGTGGTAAGGATGAAATTTGCTTGCTCTTATCTTTCGAGAATATCCTAATTCCCTGTTCAACAAGGTGAAGAGCAATTTGAAATGTATTATCTTCATTTGTTACAGGGCAGACACGTCCAAACTTCTCGTGATTGACATTACCAGTTTTTTCAAGTCTTATTTTTTCATCTGGTTGTCTTCTTTCGGATACTTCTCTTTGTAAATCCGAGTTACAGGTTGTTCCATTTGAAAAAGTTGAATTATGTCTGTTTGAAACTTGACCGATTTTACGGAGCAACCTATATATTGTTTCCGAAAGTTGAGATTCCTGAAATTATCATAGTGATGTGGACTAACTATTCCTAAAAAAATCCACTTAATTGCTGTAAACATGCGGGTGGTGAATTTAAAAAAATTGTCTGCAAAATAGCTTTTTCTGGAATAATTTGACAATGCCGTAATGGAAATTCGAAAACAAAAATTCCTCAGAGAGCTAAAAAATATGGAATCGAATAACCTATTCATATAGTGGGTGTCCTTTTTAAGAAAATATAACTTTGGTTGGCCAAAGTTATATTTGACTGACTGAATTATCCAGTATACGAGAAAATAATTTTAAAAGATAGTATTTATCGATATGACAGCAAAAAAAATTAGCTCGACTCATTATTCGTGATGAAAAAAGATGGCAAAATTGATTGTGGGAGACCTATAAATCATTCCTAGAGTGGGAAGTTACATACTGGAGTACAGACATGTTCATATACTTTGGTTTGAACCTTTAATGTAAGTCGATTAATCCATTAATTAAATTTCACATGTTTGTTCTTCGGTATGAGTATTTGAAATAATATAAATAATAAATAACAATAAATTGATTGATATAGCCGGTTACTACATGGTAGGAGATCATAATGAAAAATAATAAATGAAACTTTCTATGTTTTTTACCACTATCGTTACTGGAGTTTCATCCTATATGGACATTTTCAAACTAATACAATGAAATTGTTTTGTTGTATTAGATTGAAAATGTCCATATAGGACGAAACTGCAGCAACGATAGTTACAAATAAAAGTTGTAAAAAACATAGACACTCTCATTTCTCATTTTTCATAATAATTAACAATAATAATTAGTTCAGTAACAACCTTATTCTGAAACTGTCCGGTATACATATAATTATCTATTTTTGTTCAACATACTACTAGAAAAATTTGGTTTAATACTCCTGTTGCACAGGGTCTTCCAACAGAGACTTTATTCGGTCTGCCAAATCACCATGAACGGATAAGCGTCTAAAAATACGTGCAAATATTAGCATTGTTTTATCAAAATGGGTGTTTTGTTGGGACAAAGTACCGCGCGCTTCACCCATTTTACGGTCCCCACAATGGTCCTACCAAGAGGACTATTCGCAATGTGGTGGATAAATTTGAATCCACTGGTTCAGTAAACAATAGACCAACACCCGTACGTCGACGAAACGAAAGATCTGCCGAAAACATCGCCGCTGTCTGTGAGAGTGTACAGAAGATCCTGAGGCAGTCGATTTCGCATCGCTCACAAGAATTCGGCTTTTCGCAGACCACAACTTGTTGAATTTTGCATCGTGACCTGGGTCTGCAACTGTCCAAAATTCAAGTGATTCAGGAACTGAACGTAAACGACCGTAGACACCGACATGTGTTCGCTGAATGGGCTCTGTAGCAGTTGACAACTGACGCTAATTTTCATCGAAAAATCATCCTCAGCGATTTCTGGATAAAGGCTGACATTTTAACGTTTTCGTTTTCACTCACTGCGTATATTTTTGTTTTAAGGTGATCGATGTTCCATCCTGTACATTGCTCCAGTTTAGGAATTGCAAAAGATAGTAATATATTCACCAACTAGTTTCCCTAAACCACCCAATCTGATAAAAACGTATCAACCTACCTCCCATGTACACATGTACAGTGTCCACGCCCATGTAAATAATCATAAATATTGTTTATAGTTATTGGAATAATCTTGAGCTGACTCGTTCAACGTTCATTTTGAAAGCCGTATATTGGTAAATTGTCAAGGAGCACCTATACACTTGCAAAAGATATTCTGTGTTGACAAATTTATCTTTCCGCATTCCATCTCTCTTCTTCTAATAAACTGTTAGACTTCGTTTAGTTACGATAGTGTCTAGTGTGTGAACTCTGTGAAGATCCCACAAATTTGACAGATTTATTTCTGAGAACGACAAGAGTCGACAAGGTGAATTCAGATAGGGAGTACCGATCCCTTTCAATTAGAAGCGAATCATGTTATGTGATGTATAATGGCAGTACCCTTTTGTGTTTGATATTAAAAATATTGTCTTTTGGAGAATCTGGTTGTCGATTCATTTGCAGAAGAGAACCCTCTTGGTACCAGAGGTGAGTCCACTACTCCATTGTGTTTTTATTATTCCAAGAATGTACGCGAATATATGGGTCCAAACATGGTATGCTATTCCTGATTTGCTGGTTATATAGTAGACAATGGAAGTCCGAACTAGTGAAATTCATCATGAAACATTGTCAATCACCTTCAAACAATTTGGACAGTACCTAACAGTTTTGGTAATTTTGAAATGATTAACGTAACCGAAATAAAAGTATAGCGCACTACACTGGACCTACCAAGTAATAACAAATCCAACAATCCTGTTGGTACCTATCAACAACACTCTGATAACTACAAACGGTTGCAGACATTCAATTTAAATAGTATGTCTCGTAAGTGATCCTAGTGTTTTTGAAAGAGTTCGAGAGTCGATGTGAAGAAAATTGGATTCTTGCCTCCGAGCGGGGGGTGATTATTTTCAACAGTTCTTGTAGATTACATGTAATTTTTTGTTATAAACTGTTATTGTCAAAATTTTGTTTCGTTCCGTATCTTCGAAAAAAAGCGCCCTATCAAAAAATCATCAAAGGACAAAATATTCTTAGAATAGTCCACATTATAGTCCCTTAAATTTTTGCCGTTTGTTTAGTAAACACCCTGTATATTGGAGAACAAACATGTGAAACGTAATTGATCGTAAATATCAATTTTATTTTTCTGTTCCTTAGTTTCTTCACGATAATGAATTTTCAGCTATGTCTGGAGAGGGAATAAGCAGGGAGGAGTTCATAGATTCTGTTGCGAAGGATATACTAAAAAAAATCCCAGAGGAGTATGAAATTTGGAAAGTAAAGCGTTATTTTCAACGGATGATGTCACCCACCGTGATTGTTCTCCTTCAGGAGCTGGAGAGATTTAACAAGCTCATAAACACGATGAGAAGGACTTTGACGCAGTTACAGAAAGCTCTATCAGGAGAAATAGGTATGGACAGTGTGCTGGATAACGTCGCTTATTCGTTATACAACGGTCAGTTACCGAACGCATGGAGGAAACTAGCACCCGCTACATGCAAGAACTTGGGAGGATGGATGGAGCATTTTGAGATGCGCCAACAACAATACTTCACATGGGTAACAACATGATCAACATGCATCACGTAACTTTGTATAATTTTGATACCACAATCAATTATTGTGACAGGAACGACACTGTTATTACCGTTTTTTTTTCGGTTTCAACGGCTACTCGTTTTGAAATGCAAATTAACCACGTAGTTCTAGCTGTAGGACTCTGTAGAGTCTTATGAACAACTCCAAATACTGTATATTTCTTGGTGAATAAAGAGTTAGGTTAACATATTTGAAATCTATGAGAAAAAAACGAATCGTGGTGACCTGAAATGAAAATGAATTAACGGTGAAATAAAAATAAGAAAAATATTATTACAGTACAAACAAAAAACATGAATCCTAAGAGGAAATTGTGATAAAAAGGAATAAGAAAAAGATTTGAAACCAAGCTTATTTCACGATGTTTTGATTGTTAGTATTCACAATCGNTATTGTGTGTGCCCTCATGTATGCTAGAGTTCCTTGTCTAGGCCCGTCCTTGTAACTAGACTCCATAGGCCAGACCTCAAGTTCCCCATATATTGAGAGGGTTGTGGTAGAAGAGGAAGTAACAACCAACTTGAGGTTATTAGTTACAAAAATGTTACCAACCTAACAAATTTAGTGTTTTGTTTACTTTCTTCGCTACGCATAGACACAATGACATGTTTACCTAAGCGTGACGTCAGAGCCGACGCCATGACACCTGCGAATTGTTTTCGGACACTATTGAAAAAATATTAGAAAAATGGCTATAAACTTTGTTAACTTAAGTTTATCACCGAAATAAAGGTTTTCTCGTAAATATTGAATGTATACCCACATTACGAAAGAGTAATTCAAAATCATTCGTTACGCCTATTTAGGCATGTTTCAAGATTGTGTAATTCCTTAGAATTGAGAAATCTTCGAGGAGTAAAGCGAGGGCACTTGAAACTTTTTTCTAGGCTATCGGTTAGCCAAGGTCATAAATACATACTTTTGAAATAAAAAAAAAGTTTTCCGTGATACTTCTCATATTCTACAAGGTGGTACTGTCTGAGATTGTTCATTTCATTATCAGCGTTACCAGTTGAAGCCATTTATTTCCTTCGCCTATAATTGAAATTCAGAAATCTGAGTGAGAAGAAGTAGATTGAAATATTTTTTATGAAGATTCAGTCATAATCATCCGTTTTCTCGTCGGAAGTCCACCCAATTTTTCATTGGAAGACCACCCATTTTTTCGTTGGAAGAATTAATATTTGGAATATTTTTTTCAGATGTGGTTTTGGCGGTGGAAAATTCAAATATCTTTCATTGGGACAAGGACAAGAGCCGACTGCACTGAACCTATTAGATATAGCAATCTCCAGAGGGCAGTGGTTGATGTTTCAGAACTGTCACCTCCTCATTTCATTCATCAAAAGACTCGAGAAACAGCTAGAAAAAATCAGCAAACCCCATCCAGATTTCAGGTTGTGGCTAACTACTGACCCGGTGGAGACTTTTCCAATCGGAGTACTGCAAAGATCTTTGAAAGTCGTTACCGAACCGCCTAACGGTCTCAAGTTGAACCTGCGTAACACATACTTCAAAATGAGAGCACAGACGCTGGAATCTTGTCCTCACCCCGCGTACAAATCACTGATCTACGTGCTTGCCTTTTTTCACGCTGTTGTGCAAGAGAGGCGTAAGTATGATAAAATCGGTTGGAATATTTGCTACGATTTCAATGAGTCCGACTTCAACGTTTGCGNCGGGGCAGGCACAAAGTATGTGCTTTGCTGTTTCATAATTTTCCAAACAGAGGCAAAACACACTTGCTTCCAACAGTCAAGTCTCTGCATATGATGATTCAAATGACAGTGACCTGTAACAAGGTCTATTAGACATCATAGTTCATCCCTACTGTAGTCCATTTATTATCAAGCTTCGAACGGTGAATAAACGCCTTGGAGTGAGCCAAGAAAAGTCCATAAGTCTTTTTGCCATCCAGGTGTTCAATCTTTGTTTGGCAAAGCCTAAAGCGATGCCAATGGCAGGTTCTGGTCTGATGAAGCTTCTTGCAGCACTTTTCTTTGCAAGGGAGTCAGCAGCCTCATTGCCTTCCACGCCAGTATGGCCAGGAATCTAGACCAGAGAAATTCTGTTAAGTCTTTCTATCGAGGAGAGTCGTTTTTGGAAATTTGCTACCAATTTAGACGTTGCTCGGTAGGAGCCAAGAGCTTCCAACGCCGCTTGACTGTCCGAGAAGATCTAACTTCTAAAACTTGTGAATAATATTTATCAAACTTATGACGATTTTGGACTAGAGTCCACTTGTCCCATTTCATGCAAACATTGATCAATAGACGATATTGTTTGCTGCTCTCTTCATGTCTTTGTAGAAAGTAATTGCTTCACCATTTTTACACTGAGAATAATATGTAGTCTTATTGGCATTCTATTTTCGAATCTTCTGATTCATTCAATACATTTTTCGATGATTCAGAACCAACTTCTCGGAGTGAGTCATTTTTTCAAAATAGAAGAACATGCTTTGCTTCTTCTCAGCAGTGATATCCAGAATATTTTTTTCAATATGAGTACATCTACCGGTTACTTGATGGAAATTAATAACACTATCCTTAAATATTACTGGAGTTTTTTCCCAACACCAAACCGTTATTTTCACACCTCGACACGTTAAAACCTCGACCGTTATTTTAACACCTCGACACGTGTTTCGATCTCCAAGTGATCATCTTCAAGAGGGAAATATTTTGATCAGTTNTAACATTGTTTTATCAAAATGGGTGTTTTGTTGGGACAAAGTACCGCGCACTTCACCCATTTTACGGTCGCCACAATGGTCCTACCAAGAGGACTATTCGCAATGTGGTGGATAAATTTGAATCCACTGGTTCAGTAAACGATAGACCAACACCCGTACGTCGACGAAACGCAAGATCTGCCGAAAACATCGCCGCTGTCTGTGAGAGTGTACAGAAGATCCTGAGGCAGTCGATTTCGCATCGCTCACAAGAATTCGGCTTTTCGCAGACCACAACTTGTTGAATTTTGCATCGTGACCTGGGTCTGCAACTGTCCAAAATTCAAGTGATTCAGGAACTGAACGTAAACGATCGTAGACATCGACATGTGTTCGCTGAATGGGCTCTGTAGCAGTCGGCAATTGACGCTAATTTTCATCGAAAAATCATCTTCAGCGATTTCTGGATAAAGGCTGACACCTCGAGTATTCTTCGCCTTGTTTTCGAACAAAAAACGTTCAATTGTGAAAAATCCGATCGCATAGTCGCCTGATTCATACGCGTGAAACATAACTTTAAAATTGTATTCTTTCGCCTGCCTCAAGAAATACTCATTATTCGGTATTCCAAGTCACAGAGTGTGACAGATAGGCACGAATATTTCCTTCCACGATCCATATAAAGTAGAATCAATGCGTAATTCTTGTGGTGATAGCCTAAATTGAAAACAGAATTCAAACTTACTTTCTGAAATTGAACTGTTACTACTGTCTAGGGCCTTCAATATTTTCCTAATTATTTGTTTTCGTTAAGCTTTCTTCATTGATTTAGGCATTTTACACACAGAACCGTCTTTACCCGGGGGTTCAAGGGCTAAGAGTTCTATGGGGAGCAGCGTCGAGAACTAGAAATTGTGAATATTATTTATTTGGGTACCTTTAATCTCATTCCATGTCAGCGTCATTGCATGCACATATTAAAAATGTGGAACAGTCTAGAATGTCGGACGAATCATATTTACGACTTATCACCTTATGATACCTATTTGCCGCCTTTGGCACGTGTCATATCGGTCATTATGTGGAAGTTAAAATAGCTCTTATTGATACTTATTTTACAATTCAAATTTATTCAACACGCACACGGTTAAATCTCAAATTCCAAGAGCTTTATTTGACATAGTCGTAGCCGTTCGTATGTACTTGAAGTGGCTCCTAAATTATTCATTTTAGGCGTAAATCCGTTTGAATTTACAAACTTTTTCTCAATTGAGCAAGAAATAGATCTATTTTTAACAAGCTTTTATTAGCTTCACTTGTATGTATGTATGTTTGTTTGTTTGTAACTCTCCTTTTCATTTCATTTTTATTCCCGTTTGAATGGTCGGGATCTGTATTTGACAGAATNTGAATTTTCAGCTATGTCTGGAGAGGGAATAAGCAGGGAGGAGTTCATAGATTCTGTTGCGAAGGATATACTAAAAAAAATCCCAGAGGAGTATGAAATTTGGAAAGTAAAGCGTTATTTTCAACGGATGATGTCACCCACCGTGATTGTTCTCCTTCAGGAGCTGGAGAGATTTAACAAGCTCATAAACACGATGAGAAGGACTTTGACGCAGTTACAGAAAGCTCTATCAGGAGAAATAGGTATGGACAGTGTGCTGGATAACGTCGCTTATTCGTTATACAACGGTCAGTTACCGAACGCATGGAGGAAACTAGCACCCGCTACATGCAAGAACTTGGGAGGATGGATGGAGCATTTTGAGATGCGCCAACAACAATACTTCACATGGGTAACAACATGATCAACATGCATTACGTAACTTTGTATAATTTTGATACCACAATCAATTATTGTGACAGGAACGACACTGTTATTACCGTTTTTTTTTCGGTTTCAACGGCTACTCGTTTTGAAATGCAAATTAACCACGTAGTTCTAGCTGTAGGACTCTGTAGAGTCTTATGAACAACTCCAAATACTGTATATTTCTTGGTGAATAAAGAGTTAGGTTAACATATTTGAAATCTATGAGAAAAAAACGAATCGTGGTGACCTGAAATGAAAATGAATTAACGGTGAAATAAAAATAAGAAAAATATTATTACAGTACAAACAAAAAACATGAATCCTAAGAGGAAATTGTGATAAAAAGGAATAAGAAAAAGATTTGAAACCAAGCTTATTTCACGATGTTTTGATTGTTAGTATTCACAATAGTCATCGGGTGATAACGGAGTTATCAGTAATTTGTCGAACTTAATGATTTTGTCTATCAAAAATAGATCTAGGAAAGGATACTTAATTGAGTTTCAGAGGCCATAATCTGTTCTCGTTTTCAAAATTAAACAAATAAAAAATGGTGGTTTGTTAGCATTCAACGGACACCAGTAGAATAACCAGACTTACTC